GAGAGAGAGAGAGAGAGAGAGATGGAGAGGGAGAGGGAGAGGGAGAGGGAGAACGAACGAACGAACGAACGAACGCAATGCGTTTTCACCGGATCGCAATCGGTAACTGCGACGTTTCTTAATTGCCGAACAAGGAATCAACAGATTAGATAACAGATTAGAAACACTTGTCAAAATCTTGGTTGAACGTAGTCGGGAGTCGCGGAACTCGCTCACCCGTGACTAATACTTCACAGTTGGCGTGCGAAATTGGCGCGATGCAAATACGAGGACGTGCGGTGTAGTACGACGAGCGTCGTAGTTACATGCGCGAAACAGCGTAAAGTTCAGTGACAGCGTGTGTTCTATTTTCAAAATGATCTCCGGTGGACCTTCAATTAGCGCGAGCATCGCGCGTATATATACGTATATGTCTTTTTTTGTGACGATCATCTGAGACATAACATATATGTTACACATTCCACTCAATTCTAAATTTAATTTAATTTTTAGATTTTTTATATTGAAGTATTATCAATATTATATATAACTATCTTCCCTACAAAAAGTTCTTCTGCTTGAGCAACACATTTGTCTATGAAAATTTATTAAGATCTACTATACACACACATACACACACACATGCATATAAGGTGGTTTATTTTGAATAACGCATTGAGGTTTTCCGAAAATCAAGGGTTTCATCGAAAAATATTTCAAACAAAAATTACACGGTTTCAAAGGGGACTCACACATAGTGTGATAAACACTACACAAGTCTACTCACACACACATATACGCACACATGATGCTACTTATTTGACCTTCAGTGAGTTTGCTAAAATTATGTGAAGGTTACATTTGATTCTATAAATGGAATCATGGTTCTTTTAACATAACCTCCTCTCAATACAAGGTATAAAATAAAATTATGAATGATCAATTTTCCGACAACATCTTATCTTATCTTATCTTTTGCACATAGGATAACAGATAAAACTGATTTTTGTAAAGAAAAAAACAAAGAAATTTTGAAGAAAATTAAGTTGCATTTTGCAGATTCATTGAAGCATCAGTATGCAATGGCTAGTATTACTGATAGATTTTTTTCGTCATTTAATGTATAAAAGTATTAAAGTAATTTCGTCGAAAAAGTTAATAGATCATAAAATACTTCATACCTTATACTGAAAATATCAGAATATAATGTAAAATATCTCGGAAAATATTCACTTTTTGATAATTTCATTCAAGTACTTTTATATACAGAATAACCAGAGGAATTGATTTATATTAAAATAATAATATAAATATAAATTTTTATATTAAAATAATAAATAATATTAAAAAATTAAATGTAACCTTTACATGATATTAGCAAACTCACTGAAGGTAGCGAGTGAGTAACATCATCAGACATGTCCTTTGAAACCCTAATAAATTTTGCTTGAAACAAAATTTTTCGATGAAACCTTCGGTTTCCTGAAAATCTCAATGCATTATTTAAAATGGGCTATCCTATATATATATATATATATATATATATATATATATATATATATATATATATATATAT